CTCTGTGGGAATATAGCTAATATAAAGCGATTGAACTTTGGCACTTGGCACCTGGAAACCCAAGTTGTTTATTCAGGGAATTTAGCCTGAAGTTTTATATCAGATGTAAGCCATATCACAGAGGACAAGATGGTTGGACAGTGTTCTCAAAACCACAAACATGAGTCTGACCAAACTGCGGGAGGCAGTGGAAGATAGGAGTGCCTGGCGTGCTCTGGTCCATGGGGTCACGAAGAGTCGGACACAACTAAACGACTAAACAACAACAACAAAGCCATATCAGTGCCAGGTGTAATGAACGTATTAACTTTGTCACTAAAGATGCAGCAGTAACTTTGAAGTGGAATTGCTAGAGTTAGAGTCGCTCTTTGTCTCTGTTTCTCTCTCTGTTTAAAAATGAGTTCAGTACATGCTTTCCTTTCTCCTCATGAAAGTGAACATTACAAGACCAATGTGGCTCTTTAGCTTTCTTGTTTTTTAATTCCATCTTCCTTTCATTAAATGGTTCCCAACAGGGCTTTTTGGAGGCACTAATGAAGAGTGAACAAATTGCAAACTTCGCCTGGGCTGAAGCGTAATTCACTCAGGGGGCTGGGGAGGAGTAGCAGTGGTTGGCAAATGCTCATAGACAATAAATCCACTCCTGCAGGTTGGGAGTGGAGTCTCTGCATAAGTGGACTCAGGTTATTTCATTATTTAGTTACCCTGAATAATTCAAATGGTCCTAATTGAAATAATCAGTCACAGAAATCAAACATGGGGTTTCATCCATAGACATGGGAAATACAATCCAGGCCATGAAATCTGTTAGTCCTACAAAGGACTAGTATTGCCTTATATTTGTATAAGATCTCTCCTTGTGGAATTTGTTTTGTCCCAGTGTAACTTCTTCTGTGCCTAGGGAGGCTCAGTTCCTTTGGCAGGAAGTTGGAAACCATAATGTATTAGAATTTGTTTATTTTTAATTGTGACATGGCTGCTGCTGAGATTTCTTCAGGTATTTCATTATTGTCCAACTTCACCATCTTTGTGTTTATGATAACCACCATGAGTGGTACATGCTCTGGTTATCTCTTGCTTGGACTACTGCAATGCACTCTGTGTGGGGCAACTTTTGAAGGTGACTCAGAAACTACAACTAATCCAGAATGCGGCTGCCAGACTGGTGACTGAAAGCAGCTGCCGGGACCATATAACACCAGTCCTAAAAGACCTACATTTGTTCCCAGTATGTTTCTGAGCACAAAGTGTTGGTGCTGACCTTTAAAGCTCTAAACGGCCTTGGCCCTGTATACCTGAAGGAGTGTCTTTGCCCCCATTGTTCAGCCCAGAACTGAGGTCTAGCTCCAAGGATCTTCTGGCGGTTCCCTCACTGCAAGAAGCAGAGGGATTTCTCAGTAGTTGTGCCCACCCTGTGGAATGCCCTGCTGTCAGATGTCAAAGAGATAAATAATTATATAACCTTCCATAGACATCTGAAGGCAGCCCTGTATCGGGAAGCTTTTAATGTGTGATGTTCTGTTGTTGTGTTTTTCTATACCCTGCTGGATGCTGCCCAAAGTGGCTGGGGCAACCCAGTCGGATGGGCAAGGTACAAATTCATCATCCTCATTATCACCATCATCATTTAGTGCTTAGACTCTAAACCCCATTCAGCCATGAAGCTCAGTGAGTGATTTTCAGCTCATCACTATCTCCTAGCCTAACCAACCTCTCAGGGTTTGCTATTCTTTGTGTATTGAATTGTATCAAACACTCAGATGGATGTGTGTGCGTTACTAAGCAACTTCTCTTACCTTTTTGGAAATCTTACCAGCATCCTTTATCACTGGGATGGTCAACCTGTGTCCCTCCAGATGTGCTGGACTCCAGCTCCAATCAGCATAGCCGTGGTCAGCATTCATGGGAGTTGTAGTTGAACAACATCTGGCATTCCTGCCGCACAGAGTCTGGCAACGGCAGTGCGTCCCAGACCGGCTTCCTCTCTCTAGTTTCTCCTTTCAGACATGCGTTTTGTGGTTTGAGTCATAATCCATTACAGTCAGTAATTAACTGCCTGGTATGAAAATATTCCGGTGCTGTTCGTCTTAGAGAAGATAACTCAGCCTCTTCATAAATTATAAATTGATGACTTATAAAATACACTAACCCCAGTGGGAAATAATCATTTCTTTCTGCAAAAGGGATTGTTAGAGGGAGCCATTTTGCACGCAGAGGCATGGAAAACAGTTAGGAAAACAGCAGCGCATGAATAATTTCAGTAAATGCGGTTAATCTAAACAAACAAATAGCAACATTTAGTAAGTGTTCAGAAGAAAGTAACTATTAAGGATTGGCTCCCTGGGAGTCAAAAAAGAGCTGACTGTATAACTGGGTATCAGATACTGTAGTAGTCTCCTGCGAAATGAATAATTGATGTAGGGCTAAAAACCACTACCACTGTATAATCCTATGCAACAATTTATACAATTAAAGGCAATTGCTGTGATTGCATTTTCTCCTTATGATTATGGAATTATAGGCTGATAGGATGCAATTTCATTTTATTACAATTACCCCCCCCCACACACACACTAGAAAAGTTAATCACAGATTGATATAGATACACTAAGCAGGGAGGCAATTGTCCGAAGAATAGTAAGGGACATTTGGACAGGGAGGTTTGTAGCAGTATCTATACACACAGCAGCCTGTGTAGTTGATATGTGGTTAATTTTCAATTGACTGTCCAGATTTGGGGAGTCTGTGGAGTGGGGCACATCCCATTAGAAGTTTGTTGAATGGAATATATGGGGTTGTCATATATATGAAGGGTCATCATCATAGCACCCATGGGTTGCAAGTGTGCCCAGCCTGTACCGCCTATGGCGCCCGTGAAAGGTCTCAGGAAATATCCTCTCAAAAATACACAATATGTGAGATACTGTTCAGTCCCTGTTTGCACTGGCTCAGCCTCCCCCTGCATTGAACACTCTCCCCATTTAAGCCATAGGAAGTAGTGGTCCCTCCACCTCCCACAACCACCCTTAAGGATAGCTTAGAAATTGTCATTTATATGTCATTGAAATATTCCTCAAAAGAGGAACACATCTGGCAACTCACATTTTCACTCACTGTGTTTGTTGGTGACCCTATGAATTTGGGCTGGTCACCAAGGGGAGTGCTGGGAAGTTCAGGTGCCTAGCCAATGACATATTGCATTTGGAGTAGAGATGATCTGTGAAATAGATAGCTCTCACTGACTTCAAGAAAAGTCATGATCTTTTCATCATCTTTATGTTACAACCATGTAAAGAAACATTGTTCTATGTTGCTTTTCTTTTCCTTTTAACCACAAGAGGTAACCGGTGGATCAAAAGTAGCAGCTCTCATGATTGACAGTAGGAAAGGTAAAGGTAAAGGATCCCTGGATGGTTAAGTTCAGTCAAATTTGACTATGGGGTGCAGCACTCTTCTCCGCTTTCAGTCCAAGGAAGCCGGCAATTGTCTGCAGACAGCTTTTCTGGGTTATGTGGCAAGCATGACTAAACTGCTTCTGGTGCACGGAACACTGTGACGAGTGCCAGGGCACACAGAAATGACCTTTACCTTACCACCACAGTGGTACCTATTTATCTACTTGCTCTGGTGTGCTTTCAAACTGCTAGGTGGGCAGGAGCTGGGACAAAGCAACGGGAGCTTACCCCGTCACGCAGATTCAAACTGCTGACCTTACCATCAGCAACCCCAAGAGGCTTAGTGGTTTAGACCACAGGTATGTATGTATGTATTATTATTATTCCACTTGCAAGAAATATTATTGGTTGAGTGTTCAGAACAGGTCACCAAAATAAATAAACGAAAGAAAAGAGGCTAATTTTTCCCAATAAGTTTTTTTTACTGTACATTTTGTAGCAAAAGAGGGAGAGAAAAAAGAAAATATTTTGTTCACAGGGATGTCATTTTCTAAAACTTCAAATAGGAAACATGACGAATAACAAGATCAAATACACAGCCATGTCACAATAGATCTCTGAGCTTTTCTCTCTTAAAAAAAATACATAGAGATTTGTGTGTGTATGTGTGTTTCTTCTATCCTTTGCCACCCTTCTCAGCACATCCCTTCAAAATAATGTGCAATTTCAGAAATGGTTTCCAAGTGGAATGATTCCTGGGAGCAAATAAATACAGAAAAATATATCTGAATTAAAGGCGGGTAGCTCTTGCTGCCATAAATACTGCAAATTTCACAGTTGTCATGGTTTAGTGAAGTTGCACATGCATATCCTCAGCAATCCCAGGTCTTGCAGCAATGTGCCTGCAAATGCGTCTGGTGATTAGTTTGCAAGCCACAACAGTTGATCTCAAAAGAGCAAGGATCTTGGCATGAGAGAAGGGCTTGTGAAAGTGGTGAGGGGCAAGGGAAGCAGCACCAAAACGATTAAACATGGGACACCACCTATTCTGCAAAGCATCTTGTTTTCCATGGCTTATTGGAAACATCCCCCTAATCAAACATTTCACTGCACAATATGCCTAGAGATCTCAAATTCTCGTGCTCTTGTTTTGATTGACATTGCTACATGCCATTTGGTGGCACCGAGCACGCAAGAACGGTGCTTGTTCGTTTTCTGGAAAGGGTATGCAAGTCTACATTGTTTGTGCTCAGCTGAACAGAGGAAAACTGCCTAACCTTAGCTGGAAGTGATTTATGAATAGATAATCGAAACAGTTTCATTTCCCCCCACCCTTTGATTATGAAAACCGGCTTCCTCTTTACCTCCCGCCTCTCAGACATCAAACTCCCTCAGACAGTTGACCAAATTATCTGCAGCCTCCTTATAAACTGACAAACAAAGGATCATGAGGGGAATGGACAAAGGGGGAATCTAAAAAAATATTAACTCCTAGATTTCTTTTCCCCACCCTAGGATATAAAGATCAGAAGAGGAAAACAAGTGTGCAGTTCACTAGGTGACTGGTCTTCCTTAATTTAGTGCAGGAAAGAAAAGCAATAAAAATAAACAGCAGAGACCTTTTTATTATTTCTGGGAGGAAAGAGATAAAAAAAAATCCTCAGCCAAACCATGGCAAGAAAATTTCCACGTGTTGCTGATTCCATTATGAGATTAAGCCGAGAAGATGGTTTGCACGCATGCTCTTTTTCTCCAGATGCTGTCTTGATGAAGGTCCTTGGACAACCATAGTGGCAGCTGGGCTTATCCTCAGGTCATCTTTATATCCATGGGAGTCTCCTTTTTAGAAAAAAGAAGAGGGAAGGAATTCCTCTCTGAATGAAACATATGCCGCTTAACCTGTTTTTAATCCTCATTTAAGCTTTTTTGACAGTTCACCAGGAATGCACCCGTGATTTCCTTGAGACATTCACACAAACATAATGAATGTGTTGGATACATTTCATCAGCTTCTCTCACCCTCACTCTCTCTCTCTCTCACACACACCTATTAACATTTCATAACCTCTCTTATCCAACTTGATTATCTGACCGATAATACGGCTGTGTGCGCGCACATGTGTTGTGTGTTTCTCCCATCACGTTTATGGCCTTTTTAACAATCATGGACTTCTGTTATGCTTGGAGGGATTCAGAATGGAACGGAGGGCCACTCTTATTTACACTGTGCTTTCCATCACCCACTCCGAGCTCCCATAAGTTCCCCTCGCCCCTGTCAGGTCACTGTCGTCATACTGCAAAAGCATGCCGTTCACTGACAGACTGCGTTTTGTCCAAATGTTTGTGATCTTTTTGGGGTAGTTGCAACACTGAGAGGTGGAAAAGTCTCCCATGTCAAAAGAATGGCTACGCTTAGTTTTACCCTCCAGTGGCAACATGAGGAGGCTACGGAATTTGGACTCATGTTGGCCCAGCAGTGGCTCCTTGTCTGAGTGATGGGCCACTGTTGAAGTTCTGGAGTCTATTGTGTCCTCCTTTTTCTGACACTTCAGTTCCAGAGAGGCAAAGGCTCCCATGAGCCGATCAATGTTGTTGTGCTTTGACCTCGATGGGGGCCTCCACTTACTGGACAATGTGCCCTGCTCACTTTGGAGGCTGTAGCCATCGCAGTCGCGACTATTCACAGAGCTAGAAGAAGAGGAGATGCTGCTGTGTGCAGACTCACAGTTAAACTCCATGAGCTCGTTCCTTACCACCACTTTGGGGTTGACTTGGGGCAGGACCCCGTTCTGAACAGGCTGGGATCCATTAGTTTGTGAATAGACATTGCTAACGTTAGCCATCTTCCCCGGGGCATTGTTGCAAACCTTGTACCGGACCATGAGTACCACGATGAACACCAACAGAGTTGCCACGATGATGCCTCCGATGATCAGGATCATTGTCCCCCCCAGGAACTGGCTGTGCATGGACTGGCACTGGGGATAGTCCTCTTTGGTGTAGAACTGGGCGCAGCCCACAATGTTGGTAGCGGTGAGCGTCGTGGCGGTGTCGTCCCACATGGCCAGAACGCAAAGATCATAGCCTGTCCCAGACACCAGGTTGTTCACCACAAAAGCCTTGTTTGTAGCAGGGATCATCCTTTAAGGGAAAGAAAACAGCAACATTAGTTTAAAATGTGATGGGGAATGTAGTGTGAGTGGGGTGGGTGGGGCCAAAGCACTGGACAGCAGCAGAAGGAAATGTCTAAATCTTAGTTTATTTCCTCAAATGCCTAAGTCAAAAGACATTTAGCTGTTCATCTCTGAATATGTATCTTCTACCAATTCTGTCATCACACTCTTTTTCCTCCCTCCCTCCCTCCTTACAGTAGAACACATATTATCCAAAATCCTGAAATACTGGATGATATTCACAGCCTCTGGTGTCCCTGCACTCCTTCATTCCTTTCCTTACTCTGACCTTCAAGGTTACTAGTATCCTTGAATGGTGCATGGGGGCCTAGCCATTCCAACATTACTGCTGGGATTAAATCCATGTTAACACACATTATAAATCAGGAAAGTGGTTTTCATTTATTAACCTAGCAATAGAAACTCAACAAGGGGCAATTGCTTTGGTTTAAAGACATGGCTGGGTCACTGAGTTATAATCCTGTAAGCATCCAAGAGCTGGCTACCTAGCTCTCCTTTTCTTGTTAATTTGGCTGAAAGGACAAAGGTGTTAAAATGGGGCAAAAAGGCAGGAGGTTAGACTACTTCTTTTGTATACAATATATATATACTGTGTGCACACACACACACAAAAGCAAAAACAAAACCCACAACCCCATGCTGATCAAGGAATAAGAAAAGCAGAGTATTGTTTCTAACTGGATATGTATCCAGCTGACATAGGCAGCTTACATAATAAGTGATGAATCAGCAAGTTCTTCTTAGGAAACTGTCATTTCTAGAGCTCTGCCTTTGTGACAGCATAGGCTGTAGCCTGAACCGTGAGTGGGAAGTGAGACAAGTCAATCAGCCAAACCAACCCCCCCTCCTTGTTATGTTTGCTGCTGTCACCATGTGGACTTCTTTATTTTTCTCTGACTTCTTCCACTAAACAGCCCTTTAACATTCCAGACTTTAACCGTCCTCACCTACTCCTTGTATTGCGTAGAATAGCAAGGCACTTAAGTGTGGCCACAAACTATTTTTTACAAAACCAATTGTACTTTTAGTTAAAGTTTAAGAAAGGCAACACAGTAAGCAGTTTTTGAGGGGGGGGAACTTCTTTAAGAGGTAATTTTATGATTGGAGTAGCTGTTCAATCAAGTAGAAGCAAATAAAAAAATAACTAGAGATAAACACATCCAGTACATTTTTTTCTAGAAAAATAGGTGCCGGTACTCACCATGAAGTTGTTACAGTAATTGCTACACTTTTTAACAACAACAAAAAAGAGGTGCCAGTGCTGGGTATCCTTGAGTAGCCCCTGAAAAAAAGCACTGCTATATCTATCAGATACTGTTTCCCTAACCAATACTTATCAACTTGCACCCATTGATTCAATTTCTGGGTCCCTTTGTGGGGTTTTCCCCCCCTGGCTCCTTTTTTCCAATGCCCCACTCTGCTGCCTCTCACTTTACACTGTTCAAGCTCTCTGTTTGGGCCTCTTTACTCTCTTGTAGCTCTTCCACTCCAGCTCTTTGAATCTCAGTGTTCATAACCTTCTAACAAACTACAGTGGTACCTAGGGTTAAGTACTTAATTCATTCCGGAGGTCCGTACTTAACCTGAAACTGTTCTTAACCTGAAGCACCACTTTAGCTAATGGGGCCTCTTGCTGCTGCTGCGCCGCCGGAGCACGATTTCTGTTCTCATCCTGAAGCAAAGTTCTTAACCTGAAGCACTATTTCTGGGTTAGCAGAGTCTGTAACCTGAAGCATATGTAACCTGAAGCAAATGTAACCCGAGGTACCACTGTATCCTCCTTTATAGCTTGACTCCCGCTCTTAACCTTTTATCCAATCAGAAGGAGAGTAGAGTCTTAGTTGAGATTCTATTTCCCATCTAGGAATGTAAGAAACAAACAAACAAACAGTCAGGAATAAGTAGTAGCTGCCTATAATCTGACCCCTGTCTGAAATCCTGACCTACTGTCAGCCTGCATAGACTAGGTATCAACCATTTTAGACCCAGGACCTACTTATAAACTAAACATGTATTTGAAGACCCATTTCTTAATCTTCTGCCATATATTTGCACAGTGGTACTGCTCCTGTTTATGTTTTCTGAGGAACAAAAAAAGAGGACACATTTGCCAACCTCTGCTTTTAACTATGGATCGCTATGACGACTCTCATTTTACATACCCATGAAAAAGAGGACATGTCCTGGAATAAGAGGACATATGGCAACCCTACGTCCTGTTGCAATTCACCTTGGATCAGGCCATGACCCACTAGTGGGTTCTGGCCCACCTATTGAACGCCAGTGGTGTAGACCAGGGTTTCCCAAACTTGGGTCTCCAGCTGCTGTTGGACTACAACTCCCATCATGCTTAGCTAGCAGAGCCAGTGCTCAGGGATCATGGGAATTGTAGTCCAAAAACAGCTAGTGACCCAAGTTTGGAAAACCCTGGTGTAGACAATATTGAAGTAGATAGACCAATGCTCTGCTTCAGTATAAGGCAGCTTCCAATTTTTTCTAGTAGGCAATGTGGCCCATACAGATACAAACTTAGAACTGTAGAATAACAGGAGATTCTGTTTAACACAGGCAGCTTAATAAGTACAGTAGATTTCTGAAGTCTACATGGGTCTCCTGTCAATGTAGCGCTGCATATTAAGAATAACTAAGAGATGAAATAAGAACAAGATAAAGCTCTCTCCTCCCCACTGTCCCTATTGTTCCTCATTCACAGCAACAAAATCTGTGGAATGAGGGCATATTCACAAATTGCATTTTAAACTAAAGATTGGTTCTTCAGCATGCTATATATAGAAACAGTTCCTCAAGTATTAGTTGCTACCCATACTTTTCAGTTACAAGATATTAACAAAACTTTCCAGCACAGAAATTATGATAGAACTGTTGGAAGTGTTCCTTCATAGCCAATGAGCCTTATTTCCATCTGGTTGGGAGAAAAGCAATGACAACCTAGACAGCATTTTAAAATGCAGAGACATCACCTTGCCAACAAAGGTCCGTATAGTTAAAGCTATGGTTTCCCCAGTAGTGATGTATGGAAGTGAGAGCTGGACCATAGAGAAGGCTGATGGCTGAAGAATTGATGCTTTAGAATTATGGTGCTGGAGGAGACTCTTGAGAGTCCCATGGACTGCAAGAAGATCAAACCAACCCATTCTTAAGGAAATCAGCCCTGAGTGCTCACTGGAAGGACAGATCCTGAAGCTGAGGCTCCAATACTTTGGCCACCTCATGAGAAGAGAAGATTCCCTGTAAAAGACCCTGATGTTGGGAAAGATGGAGGGCACAAGGAGAAGGGGACGACAGAGGACAAGATGGTTGGACAGTGTTTTCGAGGCTACCAGCATGAGTTTGACCAAACTGCAGGAAGCAGTGGAAGACAGGAGTGCCTGGCGTGCTCTGGTCCATGGGGTCACGAAGAGTCGGACACGACTAAATGACTGAACAACAACACAATACATTGCATTCTAGGGTCTCTGAAGAGAAAGAAATCTGCATAATGGAGTTAGACAGCAATAAGGAGGAAGCCCACAGTCATGGAGCAAAAGTTAAAAGTGGTGGAAGTACTTTTATTTAGGATGGACCTTTATTTAGACCCCAACCACAACTTACATTTGGCTTCACCATAAAGTTTCTTGGGAAATGTAGTTTGTTAAGGGTGCTTAACGTACTACAAAAAGATGTAACTGCTCCCTAATATCACTCTCCATACTCAAGGACTTGAAAGTGGCCAATGTAACACCAATTTTGGAAAAGGAACCTAGAAGCGTTCCTAAAAATGATGGGCTGGCAAGCTTAATGTCTGTCCTGGGGAAAATGGTGGACTTGACACCAAGACTGTACTCTTCACTGTACTTTTGTTATCTGCTTAAAACAGTCACCCCCAAACTCGGTCCTTCAGATGTTTTGGGACTACAATTCCCATCATCCCTGACCACTGGTCCTGTTAGCTAGGGATGGTGGGAGTTGTAGTCCCAAAAAATTTGGAGGGCTGAGCTGAGTTTGGGGATGCCTGGCTTAAAACACTTTTGTTTAGACAAACATATCCAGGTATGCAGAAATTACATGTGTTTTCTTTCTTTTTAACTCCTGTTGGGTTTAATCGTAAAATAATTTCAATATTTTATTTTAGGTTTTAAACTACTTAGATGTTTTCTTACAATCATGCAATATGTGTGTGTGTGTGTGTGTGTGTGTGTGTGTGTGAGAGAGAGAGAGAGAGAGAGAGAGAGAGAGAGAGCTTGTTAAATAAATAAATAAATAAATAAATTCACATCATTTCTTTTCTTCCCCATGGAAAAATAAAATTAATGAATATTTTTCTCTCTCTACTGGTGACTGAAGAGTTCATTCACACTTCAGGATTAAGCAAGCAGCAGCTCCATCTCCTTACCTTAGCTGAAGTGAACTAGTTGCTGGTATCGTACTTTAATCCTTTTTTAAAATTCGCACCACCTTCATCTGAGATATGAATTAGCCACTCCTTATAAGCCGTGCTGAATTCTTTGAGGACTTCTCTGCCTTTGCTGGTCCCATTTGATTACAAAGCAGAAAGCTAGAGGTGGTGTTTCACATAATATTCTGTGTTTATATTCCGTGGAGCTGCCACCACAGATGTCTTGAAACTGTCTGAGGTTTCTTTATACTCTCTCCCCTGCACCCATATTCTAAACTAGGGTGGGGGAACCTTAAGCTTCTCCCTCTGGCCTTCAAGATGGAAGAAGGCATCCATTTCCTTTCCCTCCTGTATTCCTCAGGTGCAGCACCATATCCATCCAGCTATTCTTCTCCCAACAAAAACTATGCCATTTGTCTTGCTGTAGCAGAATTTTGCATAATGAATGAATGATGTAATTATGTTACTCCTCAAAGTTCATTTTGGTGCAGAGGAAATATACTGGAAATGTGGGATGGGGGACACACACACACACACACACACACACACTG